TTGTAAACAGTGCTGCAATGAACATTTGTGTGCATGTGTCCTTATAGTAGAATGATTTATAGTCCTTTGGGATATAAATCCCAGTAATAGGATAGCTGGGTCAAATGGAATTTCTATTTCTAAGGCCTTGAGGAATCGCCACACTGTCTTCCACAATAGTAGAACTAATTTACACTCCCACCAACAGTGTAAAAGTGTTCCTATTTCTCCACATCCTCTCCAGCATCTGTTGTCTCCAGATTTTTTAATGATCGCCATTCTAACTGGCGTGAGATGGTATCTCAGATTAACACACATTTGACTGAGAGTTGATTGGATATTAAATTCTAAATTCAGAATAATTTTCTCTGATCTTTACAGACATTTTTCTTTCCTCTGGCTTCTAATATTCAGGAGAGCAGATACAGAATTTGATGACAGTCTTGTTTCCATATAGGTCATTTGCTTTGTTGTGGTTGTTTTTCCCTCTCCAGAAACATGTAATGGATTCTTTTTATCCTCAAGTCCAGAGGTATGCTTTTTTCAGTATTGGCATTAGAATCTTGGTGAACTCTTTGGATCTGAGGGCTTAAGATCTGTTTTTAAGCTCAAAGAAATTTCCTCCTTTTTCTTTTGAATGTTATCATCCTCTTTTTACATTCTCTTAGAACTTTTATTGAGCAGATATGTATCTTTGTGCCTCTTAACGTTTTCATGGTTCTCATTCCCCCTGGTGGCATTTTTTGCTTTAAACTCTGGGAAGTATAGCAGGTTTATAATTTACAGTCTCAATACAGGTGTGCCACAAAAATAACTTCTTAAAATTTCATTTTAACTGAATTTAATCTTTTCCACTGAAGATAAAATGAATCTTTTCCAAACCAAGGCAACTCAGTCACTTTCAGTTTTAAACATAGCCCATTCAGGATTTAAACTGTCAATTCAAAATTTTTTCTCCTTTTTGTTCCCTTCTTCTTTTTGTCCCCATCTTTTTACAGGATGTGATCTAAATTCTCAGAAGCTTTACATATCGCACCAGCATCAGGAGTGGGACATTTAGTATAACTAATTCCCTCTGTTCTCACTATCCTCTATACAAAAAAAGCTTTTTTTTTTTTTTTCCTTCTTCTTCTTCTTCTGGTTCTTATTGCCATTGCTCCCATATGCTGCTGCCATCCATGGTCAGGTCATGGATTCTCTTTTAAGAGATATACACTGCATTTCTCTTTTTATGGCCTTCACACTCCTTTGGTTTTTGAACCCTATAGAGTTGCTAGGATTCTGTGACATTATCTTGGTTCCTCTGCTTAGAAATCCCCATCAACCATGTTGGTACGTAGCTTTGCTGCCATGGTGGGTGCAGAAAATCTCTAGACAGCTTGCCATAAATTATCCTAGGAAGTGAGGCATAAGTATCCCTTTCTTCAGATGCTTCTAAAAATGAGATGAGGATGTGTGTCATTTATAGACCACCTCACTCATGTTTGGGGGGTACTGGGGCATTGACTCCTTCATAAAAATCCAGGCAACATCTGTAATCTGTGATATCCTCTGAAATTCTCCTCTCCAGCCTACCCATAACATCTTTTTTCAAGTAAGAAAACAACTCTTTATAATAGTGTGTATTTTATGCCCAATAGTACAAATTCTCTGCTTCCTGACTTTCATGATTGCTGTTACATTAAGATTCATTTTCAGGAATTCTAAAGAAAACCTTGTATCTTTCTACATGGTGTCTTGCAATCAAAAGTTTTGCTGTCAAAATGATTATTTCTTTAATGCATTATGATATGGTTTGGCTGTGTCCTCACCCAAATCTCATCTTGAATTGCAGCTACCATAATTCCCATGTCTTATGGGAGGGACCAGTGGAGATAATTGAATCATGGGGGTGGCTTCCCACATACTGTTCTCTTTGAATAAGTCTCATGAAATCTGATGGTTTTATAAGGAGAAACTTCTTTCACTTGGTTCTCATTTTCTCTCTTGCCTGCCACCATGTAAGATGTGACTTTTGCCTTCTGCCATAATTGTGATCCATGTGGAACTGTGAGTCCATTAAACCTCTTTTTCTTTATAAATTACCCAGTGTTGGGTTTGTCTTTATCAGCAGCATGAAAAAGAACTAATACACATTAAAATCTATTCATAAGTTCAATTAGTTCCTTTAGTCCTAAAGTTTTCTTTATATGACAAGTAATCACTGCTTCCTGAATCATGGAGGTAAAACAACGGCTATAAGGAGCACGGGATACTGGGTGGTGGCGGCATTGGTACTCATTGGTGGGAAGCTAGTGCTTAAAATCTCAGGATATTATTTGACTGAAATCTGAAATTGATAATCTTTGGAAATACTAGATATTAATAGATTTTCAGATGTGTCTATGATTATTCTGTGGGACTCTCAAACCTTGCTTTATGACACCATCACAACTCTCAAGATGTCTGGAAGAAGCTGGTGACTGCATATTGCAGAGGGTGTGACAAATGTAATCTGACCTATACATTTCACCTGCTTACTCTCCTTTTGTGCCCTTATCTATTGGTTTCACTCTCTGTGACCTCCATTGCCGCTGACCCCGAACTGGGTGATAGCTTCCTCTAGCAGCTGCTGATTTTCCTCTTTGCTCTGTGTATGATTCTGACCAGACTAGTTGTGATCCTGTTCTCTGACCTGTTCATCACCCAGGCCATCTAAACACCTGAAAATCAGGTTTCTAGGCAAAGATTTCTCAACCTTTCTCTACCTTTGCCTGATGCATAACTGCAGTTGGGTTGATCGTTGAGACTAAAGCTTTGATTGATGTGTGCAGTGGTAGGCAAGTCCCTTATAGGGGAGAGGGCTGTGGCCATGTTTTACACAGTCTGACCGTTCCAATTTTATAGGCTGAGGACAAAACGGCAGAAGAGGCCCTGAGGAAAACTCTTAATAAAGCCGAGTTTTTCTAATTACCTCCATAGCTCTGCAAAACACTCAACAACCTCCCCTGTTGTACTAACCATCTGGGCTCTCATTATCATTTGCAGGTGTTCATGCATACTAGGCATGGAACCAGGCCCCCAGAGGTAGAGAATCTTCCAGCCAGAAGTTTTCCATAAAGTCTGGCTCTAGGGAAAGCAATGAAAGGCAGAGGCTCAATATCAACAAAGAAATTCCATATTTTAATGGTGAGAAATATTGATAAATATTTGAAATTCCCTTATGTAATGACAACAACAGGGAAGGCTGACATCCATAGAACATTAACATTGACTAGAGAAGAGCAAAATGGGATGAAAAGATGAGGAGACAATTGCATAATAGATGTCTCTTCATTATCTCTGAGGATATTTCCTTATACGAATAAAAATGTTATGTTTCATTCGAATGATTTGCAATTTTGTCCTTAAGTGAGAAATTATATGTGAAATGCATGGCATATTTCCTGGCACACAGTGGGCACAGGGATATTGGCTATTCCTGTGTCCTCACACTTATTATTAGTGTGTTCTACATTCATTAAAATCTAGACAGAAAGTTTTATAGCTATCTTAAAGTAATGGCTGTTGTAAACTCTACGACGTCATTGAATGTACATAGATTCAGACCAGGAAGCAGAAAAATGATTAAATTTGGAAACTGCATGGGAAACACCATCCTGATTACTAAATATCAGGGTATGTTAGTAAAGAGTGTTTTTATTTTCTCTTTTTATTTTTCGCCATGCCTTTTTGAGGTTGGCATTATTATTGCCAATTAATAGATGAGGAAGTCAAAATTCTAAGAAAGTTTACATATTTCCCAAGATCCCTGGCTCCAGATAATGATGGATCCAGGACTCAAGCCCAGGGAGCCTGACCTGGAACTCATATTTGTAAGATTAAAAAAAAAAACTGTGGGTACATAGTAGGTGTATATGTTTATGGGGTACATGAGATATTTTGATACAGGCATGCAGTGCATAATAATCACATCAGGGTAAATGGGGTGTCCATCATCTCAACCATTTATGCTTTATGTTACAAACAATCCATGTATACTATTTCAATTATTTAAAAATGCACAATTACCTGTTGTTCTATCAAATACTAGGTCTTATTCATTCTTTCTATTATTTTGTACCCATTAACCATCCCTCCTTTTCCCACATGCCCCAATAATTGTATCCAAAATCTATAATGCTCTCTCTCTAGTAAATTATAAGTGGTAAAAAAAATTACTGGTTTAAAAGGACAAGTAAAAAAATAAAAGCTGTTTACATTTAGTATTAAAGTACTCTTGGGTATGAAAAAATCATCACGGTTATGGTATTTTCTAAGAGTCACAAGAAACACTGAGCTGAGAGCTCCTTCCTGGCCCCTAAGCCCTCACCCCCTCTGCCAAGGGAACAGATTCATGGCCTAACAAGACATATTTTCTATCTCAGGGTGGGAGGGCATAGCAATATTTTACTGGTAGGGTTTCAGAAATACTGCGGAATCCCTATTTGGTATGTTACAAGTAAAAAAAAATTACTCTTGTTTGACTTAATTTTTCTGTAGTAGAAAAAAGTTTCCCCTTTCTTGAGGAAAATATCTTAAAGGATATCTTCATCATGAAATTTAAGGGCTTCCAATGCAAGGTCTAAATTGGAACTATTTAGAACTTAAAGATTTAAGGCTGGGTGCAGTGAGTCATGCGTCTAATCCCAGCACTTTGGGAGGCCACGGCGGGCAGATCACTTGAGCCCAGGAGTTCGAGAGCAGCCTTGTCAACACAGTGAAACCCATTTCTACCAAATAAACAAAACATTAGCTGGGCATGGTGGCACATCCCTGTAATGCCAGCTGCTAGGGAGGCTGAGGCACGAGAATTGCTTGAACCTGGGATGTGGAGGTTACAGTGACCTGAGATCGTGCTGTGCACTCCAGCCTGGATGACAGAGTGAGACTCTCAAAAAAAAAAAAAAAAAAAAAAAAAAAAAGGTTTAGATTCTTATGTACAGACTATTTAGATTATTTAGATTATTATGTAGAGACTACCAACATATAAAGAATTTTTAGTCTCTCAGTAGATTGGGTAAGATAGGGATTTGGAAGATTTTGGAACTGGGAAAAGAGAGATACAAACAAAAGATGATCTCAGTAGAGAAAGCAATGGAGTCAGATGATAGCAGACAAGCTCAAGGTCAGGAGCAGTGCCGCTCACTGTCCCTGGAGTAGCCCTTGGGCTCTCCTGCCCATACGCATTTGGCCGTGCTAACCCCCTTCCCCAGAGAGCTTTGCCCATCATTCTCCTACTCTCTCTTCTGTCCAAACTGTCAAAGTCCACCTCCTCTGGAAAGCCCTCCCCACTTTACCTTACCTGGAAGTAATCTTGGCCTCATATCTTACCTGCTCCTTGCTTGTTTACTACTATTCCCACAGTAGAGGGAATAGTATTCGCATAGTACTGTACTGACTCCTTGCTTAAGAGTTTAGTACTTGCTGCCTTATAGAATGGATACGAATTTCACCTATTAGGCTGCATATTCCTCATAGGCAGGTATTGGGCTGTCTTTTTGTTTCATTTCACATTTCTTGCTCTCATTTAGAACTCTTAGCACAGTGACGAGTCAATGAACCACATGGTTCCATTTTCTCTTGGTTATCGTAACTGTCAAAGAGGGCAATTACTCTGTTTTTCCTTATCTTCCTTTTTATTTCTTTTTCTGAATCGAGACTTGTTGAAATTCAATGACTTAACAAAATGCCTATGAATTTGGGGCTAAAACAATACTATTGTGTTAAAGATTCGGAATGCTGGCAAAGGCTACGCCAACAAGAAGGACTTGTCCATTTCTCTTCTGCACACACTATCCCAGGCTTTTGTTTTCCCTATGTTTTCATTTGCATTTAAAGAAAAAGCAGGGAGAGATTTTAATGAGGCACTTGACTCCCAGAGAGGGCAAACAGAAGACATGAGCGTCAGGCTGAGGTTACTGTGTAGCCGACCCAGTTGGCCCCCCGGATAATGTGGAGCAAAGTTCTGTGTTTCCAAAGCACTCTTCTTCCAAAATATGGCCACAGTGGTGAGGATGGCAATGGGTATATTTTCTGACATTGTTCTGATGGGAGAAATTTAAGTTAGATACATCTAACTCCTCAAGGGACCATGCAGAACTAGGATTCAGGCCTTCTAAACCCCACTCAATGGGTGTATGACAGGGCTTTGGAAACTCTAACTGGGAAGAAAGTCTTTTCTCCTCCCATGAGAGGGACTAGGTCCGTAGTGAGAAACCCACATGTGCAATAATTGCCTTTCCTTAGAGACCACTTTAGCCATTGATTAGTGTCTTCTCCAAAGAGATTTGTGTTGGAGCCCACAAGAAGAGGCTGTCCCTGCCTGGAATTGAACAAAAACCAGAGTGAAGAATGCATCCTAGTCAGATTTTGCAGATCTGGAAACCAAAAGAATAAAATGGCATCTTTGGCAGAAAATAACTGGCTAGAAGGATCTTGAGGATGGTAGGGTTCAGGGATTGACTTTCACTCCACAAGGCTATTATTGTCCCCATATTGATTCACACATTGTTTGTGCAAGTGTGTGAGGAATGCAGGGCAGAGGACACCGTGGCTCCGAGATTTGCTTAGCATTATAACTGAGCAGGTCTGCAAAGGCAACAAGAACCACCCACCTCCTGATGCTCAGCACGATACTTTTGCCCTTACACCCTTAGGACTTCTCCAGGCAATGGGCAAGAAATGATCTTTTAGATATTAAGGAAAAATAGTAGACAAAGAGAGAAGAGGACCTGCCAGCTAAAGATGTGGAATTCAGGTGAAGAAACTGAGCTGGTTTTCTTGGTTCTTGCCCCATTCACATCTCCAGATCCAATTTCCTTTAATTATCATTTTTTCCAGTCGGTCAGTCTGACACGAGCATAGCTGCCAAAGTCTTATGCTTTAAAGATGATGATCCGGTGTCCTTTCTATCCTGCTGCACTACAACTCTGCCAAAGAACTTACCGTTAGCTCAAAAGCCTCTATCAGCCTTCAGGTATTAATAGACTGCAGAGCTGGTATTTAAGTTTGTTTAATTAATGGTGGACCCCTTCTGAGTAGGGGCTGTTGGAATAGCCAGGTGGTGCAGCGAAATCTTGTTATAAGCTATATAGAGCGTCTGTGTGCAGTTTTGTTCCTAATGGCAGTTCCACTACTTATGAGCTCTGCAACCTTGGGAATGATACTTAAACCCTTTCTTTCTCAGTTCTATCTATAAAATGAGTATAAGAAAAGTCCCTGCCGCATGTAGTGGTTGTGAGGATTAAATGAGTTAATATATAAATCATTTAGAAGAGTGTTTATTGGTTTTATGTTATTAAGGGCAATATTAGTTTTTATAAAACTGTATTTGGTAAATGAAGAGGCTCTAATTAAGACAACAGCCATCTGTTAAGTAAGTACATTGTTAGGCTGAGAATAGAAGTGTAAACCCAAGAAAGGCTTATGACCTTTGTGACTGTCAATTTTAGTGAGTTCTTAGACTTCAGGCATTTTCTGTTTTTAAACACTTTCACAAATATAAAAGTAATCCGTTGAACATGTGTATAGCACACTTCCCTTTGCAAGATGCTTTATATATCATTTGGTAACTTTATTCCATGAGAAAATATTAAGCCCTTACTATATGCTGAGCTTCAGGAGCACATGCTCTGACCAAGGAAGGCAGACAGGAAAGAGTTTTCCTGTACAAAGTGCAATCTGGGCTGAGATCTGAAGGTAGGGTAGGTAGCAGCTGACAAGGACTTGGAGGATGCAAAAGAGAAGGCATTTCAAGCAGAAAGGGTTTGTCCTGCTGAAAGTCAGAGATGTAGGAGAACCTGGGGGAGATTAGAGAAGGTGCCAATAATCCAGTACATTTGGAGAAAAGTGTGAGAGGGTGAGTTGTGGCTGTGGGTATGAGGATTTAGAAGCAAAAAAGGAGCATGAAGAAATAAGCAGAGGAGATCTCATGGAGGGCATGTCCAACATGTGGAGGAGTCTAACTAATATCCCATCCTAGATTACAGTTATCCTTTGCATATTTTGATATAGCTAGAGGCAAATAATGTGAATATTTAGAGCATTAAAAATATAAATATTTAAGGTGATGGACATCTAATTACTCTGATTTGATCTTTACAAATTATATGGATGCATTAAATTATCATAAGTACCTTCCAAAAATATCCTCTCTATGATGGGCACCATGGCAGCGTTTCTAACAGGGGAATCAGAGGTGATCAAATTAAAGTCTTAGAATTATCACTCTGATCATAGTGAGGAGAAAGAATTTGCAAGGAGCAAATATACAGACAAGGAGAATAGTTAGTTCCATGGCTGTTGTTCTAATCCAGATGAGAGCTGAAGAGGATTTGATATCAGGGAGGAGCTGAGGTCATGGGGAAAAAGGGACAGAATCCTGACACGGATATTCCCATGGTAGACAAGGGTCCATGTGTCAGCACTTAGTGGAGCAGTAAGGAAGTTTTGGCTCTGAATGGCTCTGGCTTGCAGGGCTCACACAGCTACTTAGCAATAGAGGGAGAGTGTGCACCCCTGTTCTGATAATGTTGAACTGTACCTGTTTTCTTGACATGCTAAGATGACTCTATGCCACAGGACTCCCTTGATGGCAGGAGCTAAGATCAGTCATCTCTGAAGCCCCACATAGCATCTGGAAAATATATATATGGAGGTAGGGGGTGGGGAGAGAGAGAGGGAGAGGGAGAGAGAGGGAGAGAGAGAGACAGGTTCTTGCTCTGTCACCCAGGCTGGAGTACAGTGATGCTATCTTGGCTCACTTCAGCCTTGACCTCCTAGGACCAAATAATTCTTGTGCCTCCATCTCCTGAGTAGCTGGGATTATAGGTGCATACAACCACACATGGCTAATCTTTTTTTTGTATTTTTAGTAGAGACACAGTTTTGCCATGTTGGCAAGGCTGGTCTCGAACTCCTGGGCTCAAGTGATCCATCCACCTTGCCTCCCAAAGTGCTGACATTACAGATGTGAGCCACTGTGCCTGGTGTACCTGGCATATTTTGTCCACAGTATATGTTTAATAAATGTAAACTAGAAATACAGGCAAATCCTATTTGCAACTTCCTAACTTGCTTTCCATTCTACATGTCTCAGGGATCACTGGCATCACAGCAGAGATGAACCTCACCTTGGTGACTGAGTTCTTCCTCATTGCATTCACTGAATATCCTGAATGGGCACTCCCTCTCTTCCTCTTGTTTTTATTTATGTATCTCATCACCTTATTGGGGAACTTAGGGATGATTATTCTGATCTGCATGGATCACCGGCTCCACACCCCAATGTACTTCCTTCTGAGTCACCTCTCTTTCATGGACATCTGCTACTCATCTGTCACTGTCCCCCAGATGCTGGCCATGCTGCTGGAGCACGGGGCAGCTTTATCCTACACATGCTGTGCTGCTCAGTTCTTCCTGTTCACCTTCTTTGGTTCCATTGACTGCTACCTCTTGGCCCTCATGGCCTATGACCGCTACTTGGCTGTGTGCCAGCCCCTGCTTTATGTCACCATCATGACACAGCGAGCCCGCTTGAGTCTTGTGGCTGGGGCTTACATTGCTGGTCTCTTCAGTGCCTTGGTGCGGACAGTCTCGGCCTTCACTCTCTCCTTCTGTGGAGCCAATGAGATTGACTTTATTTTCTGCGACCTCCCTCCTCTGTTAAAGCTGGCCTGTGGGGAGAGCTACGCTCAGGAAGTGGTGATTGTTGTGTTCGCCATTTTTGTCATCCCTGCCTCCATGGTGGTGATCTTGGTGTCCTACCTGTTTATCATCGTGGCCATCATGAGGATGCCCTCTGCCGGAAGCCGGGCCAAGACCTTCTCCACCTGCACCTCCCACCTCACTGCTGTGTCACTCTTCTTTGGTACTCTCATCTTCATGTACCTCAGAGGTAACTCGGGCCAGTCTTCGGAGAAGAATCAGGTAGTGTCTGTGCTTTACACAGGGGTCATCCCCATGTTAAATCCCCTCATCTACAGCCTGAGGAACAAGGAAGTGAAGGAGGCCCTGAGAAAATTTCTCAATAGAGTCAAGTTGTCCTAACCATCTCCAAACTTGGAAAATCCCGAGAACCACCTACTCTGTAGTGTCAGCGTTCTGGATGCTCATTATTTATAGCATGCTCCATGTTTAAATGAATATATTATGGTACAAGGTGTAAAAAAGAACCAGAACTTTTGCAGGGAGAGGAAGAAAGACAAGGAAAAGTCAGTCTGAAAAGAGATTGGAGTGGGAGTCTTGACTCCCAGGACAAGTGACAAAAGGATTTGAAATTAAATCCTGTGAAATTAAATCCAAATGTGGCACACCTCACCTGTCTGTGATTATAACAGTAGGTTTTTTTAAAGAAAAATTTTAATGAAAGATTTTAATTATATAAAAATGTTAAAAATAATGTATAATAAATTTCCTATACTCACTACTAAGATTGTGTAATTGCTAATATTTGCTATCTCTACTTGGTTACATAGATGTAGTCTATCCATGAGTTTATTCATCATCAAACCACCTTTTTTCCACCTTTCAAGGTGAGTTACAGACATCAGCATTAGTACCCTTTGCTTCTATGCACTTTGGAATTATAGCATCAATTAGGATTCAATATTTAGATTACATTTATTTATTTATTTATTTTATTATTTTATTTTAAGACTAGTCAAGTGCAGTAGTGAGAAGGGGGAAAGAGTAGAACAAGGAGTTTGATCTGTGAACAATCAATTGAGGCAACACACTACCTTCAGACCAGCCTAGATTACGTTTATTTTTAATGATCAAACTATGGTTGTTTGATGATCCTATTAGTAAAGCTGACCCTGCTCAAGGTATTCTTTCATATACTGGTAGTAGTTCTCAAGAAGCCTTCATACAAAGTTCTAAACAATGCCTACAATGCCTATAAAAACATGTCTGTCAATTGCTATCACCTCTGGATATATGCTATGTTTTTTTGTTGTTGTTGTTGTTCTCTACCTATTCCAGCTCTCTCTTGTCCTATGGCATAACTAAAAATCCACTTGGCAAAGTTATACCATTCCCACTGCCCATAATGGTGTGTTCAGTGTCTGTATCATAGCTATTGACTCTGTGTTCTCAAAGCTCGCCCTCAGGGAGGCAGAACATTGCTGAATTCCACATGGGGATAGACAGGAGGGTGATCCTTGCCTATCCTGGGTCCCTGAGCTCTGCAACAGCTCAGCCTGCATCCAAAGCCTCACAAAATCTGTCTGTTCTTAATTTTTACTTCTCTAATTACAGAGGACTTGTCTCAATCAAAGGCACTGGAAGGCAATAGGCTCCATCAATTCATCTTTTCTTCATTGAAGCAAATTTTTATCCTGGAACTCACACTTCTTTTCCTGGATTACCAAAAACAAAACAAACAAAAACAAAAACCAACAACAAAAAAACCAAAAACTCTGTATGTGAATGATGTAAACAATTGCGGAAGGGGAAATGTGGAGAGAGGGGTGACAGTATCTTCAAAACCTAGGCTGATTTAAACTCAGCCAGGCAAAAATGCTGTGGCAAACATGGAATTTCAGTTACAGGACCTTAAATGGGAAGAAGCAGATATGTGAAAGGTAGGAGATTCAGCACGCAAGTGCCAAAGGATATTCAATAGAAGGTGATTTATAACAAACTAAAACATGCCCGAAGCTTTAAAGACATTAAGTTTATTCTAGAAGACAGGATATTAAAAATATATATATTGAAATTTTCACAAGAAATATTTTATCCCTTTTATAGTATTTTGTCTGGTTGTTAAAACCCAGGCTTAAAATGTATAGCTTCACTAAGGGGGATATTAATAAATGGTATATGTGTCGATTGTTACAGATGGTGTAAAAAATGTTAAGGAAATGTAAGAAAGCGTGAATCAGTTATATGAAATTCCATCCTGGTTGGAAAAGGCAACGTTGTGTCTGTGTGAATAAGAACAGTATTCTAAGGGGTTATTTGCTCTCTTAAATCTACCAGAAGTTGGGAAGTACACAATGAATGGAAAGGGGGTACTAAGAATAAGTTGCCAGGTCTAAGAAAAAAATATAATGCTTCCTTCTGATTAAATGAAAAGGCTGTAGGAACTAGTGGTTGTGTAACCCCACATTGTATATGGAACATCATCTACCTTTTAGTCTATAAGTAGAGCTCAGGAAAAGTTTAAAAAATGCTTTCGGTTTATATATGGAAGGTGAGTAAGGGTTCAATTAGGAAATTTTTAAGAAAAGTTGACAATAGGGAAGTTACCTGATTGTAAATGGGTGTTAGTATTTCCTTACATTTTGCTACACCTTGTGTTGAATTCATTCAAACAAAAACCCTCTGATTCTTTTTGTTCAGTTATTGTAATTCTGGAATGGGAATCCTACCATTTCTGACAACATGGATTAACCTGGAGGATATTATGCTAAGTTAAATAAGCAAGTCACAGAAAGACAAATATGGCATGATTTATATGAAGTATCTAAAAATACTAGGTTGGTGCAAAAGGAATTGCAGTTTTGCCAATGAAAGAAGAGGAATTGCAGTTTTTACCATTTCTTTCATTGGCAAAACTGCAATTCCTTTTGCACCAGCCTAAGTCAAGCTTATAGAAGCAGAGAGTTGTATGGTGATTGCCTTGGCTGGGGAGAGGAAGAAACAGGGAAATTGTCCAGTCAGCATAAAGTTTCAGTTATGCAAGATGAATAAGTTCTGGAGATCTGTCGTACAACGTAATATCTATAGTTAACAATATGTTGAATACTTTAAAATATGTTAAAAGAATAAATCTTATGCTAAGTAGTCTTACCACCAAAAGACCAATCAGGCAACCAAACCAAAACCCACAAACCCAGAAAACAACAAAAAAGAAAACCCAAAGAAGAACATTAGAAATTTTTTGGAGATGACAGATATATGATATGCATATGTCCAAACTCATCAAAACGTATATATTAAATAACTGTAATTTTTTTATACCAATTATATCTCAATGAAACTTTAAAATATCTGCTTTTGGATATACCTGTTTAAGGGAAATCTGGGCTACTCAAACCAGGAAACACCATCTACTGGCACGTTTTGAATGTGGCTATAGTACTTAAAAGGGGAATAACAAGGTCTTCCAAAGAGAAGCCTTGGACATCCAGCTCATAATGTAATAGCAATGGTGGCACCCACATGCATCCTGCCTTGTCTCACACCAGGCACTCAGCCTGGGTCCTCCCATTACCTTTCTCAAGAGTCTGCCAATACATGGTGCCCTTCAAGGAGAACTCCACTATCAGGAGCCAGGTCCTCAGGAGCTGTCAAAGAAGGGACTTGTGGTGGCATGACCTTTCTAGTGGACCTCAGGGGACCCTCCCACCCTTTTCTTCCCCAAACATGAATGAGATATTCTGGGGACCACACTACTTGATACAAGAAGGAGAAAGGAAAAGCCATAACCCTCCCCCGGCAAGTGTGATTTGGCAGATATTACTTTATTTTGATTGCAGTGGATATGAGCAATATGGCATGATTTTTGAGTAGCCAAGAATGAGCCTGAGTCCATCTTAAATCTCTATTTTTTGTTTCCATTTTCTTTGCTTTAAATTTGTCTGCTTGGCCTTTTCTTGGAGACTTTAGGATATGATAGAAGGTGTTGGGTGATGACAGTCCCAGATCAGCTGTGTCTCCTTCCACAAAACAACTTCCTTGTTCTGTATCTCAATTTCTCCACCTGAAAAATGAAGGATCAGGTTGATTAAGAGAATTCTGAGTCCCTCTGTGGTCTCAGATTCTTTCTATTTGAGATTTAGCCCTGTTAAATTTTAAATTATTTGAGAAGAGATCTCGCATAAAGCATTGCCAGTCATCTTCTTCAGAAGGGAAACGTCTGAGAGCTGTCTCAGAGCATGGGTTAGGATGGAGAGAGCACGTGAGAACCTGGAAACTGGGAAGTATGGGAATGGCTAAGGCTAAGGAAGGTGGAGTGGCCAGAGACAAACTTTCTGCATCTTACATTGGCCATAGACATCGAGCTTAAGCTTAAAAGAATTATCAAGCAGCCATCGTCTTCCCAATGCCTTGTCCATGGAAGATAGAATGTGACAGAAACTGGACTCCAGTGGCTGACATGCTTTTCACTCTGCCACCTGTTGCCTCCCTCAGCCACTGCTCAGCCAACAGCTCTGTGGGGTTCCCTGAAGCACAGGTGCAGTGGAAATTTCTCTGATCCTTCTTATCTTTGTGTGGTAAAAATCTATTCTTTTGCGTTTCCAGAACAGTATGCTCTCTTATCTAGGAAATGCTCCATTCTTTACTTAACTATGTGAGTCACATAAGTACTCCATCTTCCTGGTCTTCACTGACTGGCAACTGACCGACATCGGGCCAATCCTGGTACCCCTTTTTTTGGCCACATAACATCTGGGTTCTTCCTTGGGATTTTTAAAAAGTTGGAACCTAAAAATGTGATTTTCATCTTCTTTGTGGCAAAACAGCTAGAACATTTGAAGAGTAGAAACAACCAGTGGGTATTTTTTTTTGTTCCACTTTGTTGAAGAAAACAATGCTGATAGAAACAATCATAGACAACAGAGACATTCTTGGGATCATGGGAGCTGCTGGTCACAGTTGTGCGTGTGACCCGTGACTTAGCTGCATCCCTGCCTGCTCTCCCGATGGGTTTGAGAATCTGGTAGTGAATTCATTTATGGGTTCAAGCCATGTTACCTGCTGGGCTTCTGCTACTTACAACTAAGAAATTCTCATTAAGAAACCCTGGCACTGTAAGTCATTCTTCCTTTGGGATTTCATTCTCCACATCTGTAAAATGAGAAGGTTCACTGGATTCCAAAGTTCCTTTTAGCTTCATCATTCTGGAAAATTCAGACATGAAGGCTCTGAAAACACTTGGAGGTACCTTATAAGGGAAGAAATGGAAGATGCTTACCTCAGGATTGCACACCTCTGAGAGGATTTGGAAGAAGCACAAATATGCACAGGACTAAATTAAGATTAATGCACTTGATTATTTGGTCATCCTTATTTGAGGCCCCATCTACATTTAAGAGCAAGAAGGGACCACTGGGTACAGTGCTGTGTAACCAGTTTGGCATTAAAAAGTCACAGACTGAGAATCAAATTAACTACTGATGTAATCATTAAACATCTTCCTATTTGGAAGCCTCAGTCCGTTCATCTGTGAATTGAAAAGCCTGGGTTATTTGACCTCTAATGTCCCCTTCAGTTCCAGCATCTTATGGAGCCTAAAACAATTCCGCAGTTCTACAATATGTAAAGTGAGGGCAGGGATACCAATGACGAATTGAGAGGGGAACATTTGCAGTAGGATAAGTCCTTCCAAAGTCCTTCTAAAGCAAATTTATAGGCACTAGGTGTTCCTCAGCCTTGAGTTGGCATGAGATCCATCCATGTCTGGATGGAAGGAAGGTAGTGAGGATGAATTTCAGGTCAAGAGCCGAAGATAACGTTCTCCTTAAATACTTCCTAGTACCTGCTCCAGGCCACAAGTCATGACTTCTCGGCTATAAGAAACACTTAAAGTAACTCAATAAAAGATCTTTTCAGAAGAAGAGATGATTATCCCTTGAAATATAGTCATCTTGGGTCTTTTCCAGATCCAGTCGACTATGGCTGGAAAGGTGAAGCCAGCCCTTCACCAGTGGGCATAGTAATACTTCATAGAAGGAGTGAGGGCCTGTCTGGTCAAGTGCACCAAGAATTTCCTACCACAGTCTATTCAGTTTGAGACTTAAGTCTCCTCTGTCAGCTGAGTTTTCTTCATTCTAAAAAGCTAGAAAGAAAATACAGACATAAAAGGAAGAACCCCTCAATGATTCCCAAACATGGAGTTCAGAGACATCTTCATGAGAGTTTGCAGTACACTATAGGAATTAGGAGTGTGCCTTCTGGAGACAGAGCACTTGGGTTAAGCCCTAGCTCTGCCACTTACTGTGGGATTATTGGTGGTCCACTTCAACAGTCTGTGCCTAAATTTTCTCATCTCCTTAAAATGAAGATAATAATGATGCCTAGTTCATGGAATTTTTTTGTGGATTAAATGAGTCTGTCTATCATCTATGTATCTATGTATCTATGTATCATCTATCATCTATCTATCTATCTATCTATCTATCTATCTATCTATCTATCTATCTATCTATCATCTATCTAATCTGTCTTTTTACTATCAGTCATCTACCTATTTATTGTCTATCATCTATTTATCATCTATTATCTATCTACCTAATCATCTATGTATCTATCCGTTTGTTATCTATCAACTATATCTGTCATCTGATTTGTCATCATCTATAATCTCTTAGAATGGTCTTTGCTGTTGGATTTTCTGTTAGACTTTCCTTTCTAAATTCTGGTCAGATCTATAGGTCTTAGAAAAAAAAACTCTAAACTTCTTTTACGTTAATTTTATAGGCTCTAATAATCATGGTATATGAAATTTTGGTTTATACTCTGAGGTTCATTTTGCTTCTCTTCTGGGACTGGCCAAACGGTGACTGAATCATCTTAATAATCATTCTGACAGCATTTTTTTAAAATAAAAATTTTAAATTGACAAATAATAACTGTGTTTATATATTTATAGGGTATAATGTAGTGTTTTAGTCCATGTATACATTATAGAATGATTCAATCAAGCCACTTAAACCGGTTGTTTTAAAATTGACTATGGCTTCCTGAAAGCAGGATATGATGGCCTTACAGTCTATTTCATATGGGGTAGAAATGAGGGAGTTGCTGTAATTATAAAGTAGAACTACAGGGACTCAGCCATTGGATCCACTTCACAATCAAAAAGAGAGGCATTCTTTAAAGGGCAAGGTGGTTTTCTCTTCCCTTGTTCCTGAGGGATCCATCTGGAAGGATGCTGCTCCCCCAGACTCCCTCCTAATTCTTTTCCCTATTGCTCTTGGGGGAGCCAGTCAGAGACTTCAAGGAGCCAGATCCTGAAATGAGTCATCAGGAGATGCTGTTTCTTGGAACAATTACTACTTTGCTGTTTGGCATTTGGACAGTTTCTGAGCCTCTTTAGAACCACACTGCCTAAGGAGCATCCTTCCCTTATAACTCTAGTTCTGTAGAATGCTAATGAAAAAGAGGTTCTGTGCTCAAATTCTGTTGGGAGATGGTGGGTGAAGAAAAAGTTAATAAAGTTTCTTTTTTATTTTTATTTTTCCTTAACTTTTAAGTTCAGGGGCACATGTACAGGTTTGTTACAAAGGTAAACATGTGTCATGGGGGTTTGTTGTACACATTATTTCATCACCCAGGTATTAAGACTAATGGCTAATAACCCATTAGCTGTTTTTTCCGATCCTCTTCCGCCTCCCACCTTCCCTGCTCTGATAGGCCCCAGTGTGTGTTGGTCCCCTCTTTGCGTTCATGCTTTCTCATCATTTAGCTCCCATGTATAAGTGAGAATATGTGGTATTTGTTTTTCTGTTCCTGCGTTAGTTTGACAAGGTTTCTTAATTATAGGACTTTATAGATCCTTTAATATGCTAACATGTAATGTGATTTTCCATGTGAAGAATATAGTATGCAGTGGTCCTCAGATTTATGAGAACAGTGAACCTGTTTTTCTCGCTGGAACATTTACCTATGACACCTGGGGAAAGGTAAAGCCTTCAAAGTAGAAGCCTCCGGTATGGTTCTCAAACTTGCTACATGTTATAATCACCAGGGAATTTACAAAAATTACTGGTGTTCAGCTCCTGCGTTCAGGTATTCTGATTCAATTGTTAAGGGGGATAATTTGGGCCTCAGGAATTGCTTCCCAGGTGATTCTAATGTGCAGTGAAGTTTGAGAACCACTGCCCTGGGGTCCTTTTGTCTAGCGCCGTATTCCAGATAGGCTCAGTCAACTGAGCACTGACCTGGTCCAAGTCATTGTTTTGTCACCAAGAAGCTCCACAGTACTCTCTGTATCTAGATTTTTAAAATTTGTAAGACAGGGAAACATCACATTCACCCTATCTCAGGTCTTCTGTGAGGAAGAAAGGCACTGACAGGGCTTGGGAGTAATCATGCTTTTCAAGAACATGTCTTTATTATTTTACTTTAGTTTATGGCAGGACACACAGAGGGCTAGGCAGGCCTAGAGCTCCCAATCACAAGGCATTGTTCCCACAATTTTTGGAGATTAATTGTATCAAAATCCCCTATCAAAATGTAGATACTGCTCCCATGTCAGATGTACTTCATCTGCATCAATCTATGGAGGAGGGCTGCTACTATTCACATTTTAAACAAATTCTGTCGCCAAATTCTTATGCACACTGAAGTTTGAGAGCTAGTGTTGTGGTAGAGGAGTTGGTCACTATCAAGAATTTGCTCAGCATGCCTGGCGAAAGTCTGTTCACAGCCCGCCCACACCGGCCTCTCCAACATTTTATCTTATGATTCCCCACCTGCACCATTCTCTGCTTCTGCCAAATGGTGAACTTTCGAAGTCACCAGTTACGGCATGCTTTGGCAATGGGGAGAAAAAAGCTTATGCTTATGAAAACCTCCTTCAGGGATCAGTTCATAGCTGGCTAGGGTGGCACTGTGTGAAACCCCTGACGAAATTGCTAACTGAAATATAGGAAACCTTCAAAGAAGTACATATCTTTTCATATAAGGCAGGAAGAAGGCAAGACTGGGAACCAGCTCCATCAGACCTTGCTGAGGGATGGGGCTTTGGAAGTTTGAAATTAAAGAGAGACTTTCAAAGACATTAATTAGACACCTTGTTAGGAAGTCATACGAAGATACATCACCCCCCCCTGGAGAGTCACCTAAAGAACCAATTAGGATGTGATGCTGGGACAGTGAATATAAGAAGCATATCAGCAAGGTTTCATGCTAGATGGGAAGCTCAGGGAGAAAGGTTGGCCCCATATCCTTGTGTTTCGAAGTAAGTATACAAAAAATCTAGGGCAATGGTCGTGTCAGGAATATATTGTTTTGTCAAGGGGTAGAGGAAAGAGAGAGACTCCTGGAAGTGTTAATAAGACACAGAAGTATTGAAAGTGACCCCATCTCACAAGGTTGCTATGATTATGGGCATATGTACAATTTTCTTTCTGGAATGGGAACAAAGACAAGGTAACTGAAACCCAGAGAGGAAAAGTGACTTGCCGAGGGTCTTACATGCCGTGTGGGTAAACCAGAAGCCAGGTGTCCTTTGGATTGGCAGGTGATGGGCAGACAACACACTATCCAAAAGAAGAGGTCATTAGAATTCAGGTGAGCACAGTTTGTGCCCAGCTTATGGCTTTCAGATCTCGTTTATTTTCTTTCTTGTTCTCCTTAATGGGTCAGCTCAGTACTGGTCTGGCTGCAGGTGCATCAGGTATTCAAACACGATCAAAGCCCTCCTTTACAGCCCTGTTCTAGAACTGTTCCAAGGACCCCCAAATTTATGAACCCAATTTCCTCTAACAGCACTCAGACAACACCAGACTACAAAAATATTTCTGCTTTCAGCTTTGGATGCTGTTTATTTTCAAGCTACTGTTTTTATTAGGGGCTTTGAAAACAACCAAACAAGGCTTATGGGGCTTTGTTAGGTGCCTGAAAAAACTTATGTTTGCTCTTTTGATTTCAAGGTTAATGCTTGAGGGTGTGTTTATGTGTGTGTATGCACACCCTTAATAAGCCAGCCAACTCTAATTAGGATAACAGCTGTTCATTAAACTTGCATGTTGTTAGACTGAGAATAGTAATATTCCTACAAGCAGAGCCCATTGCTGATTGCTGATAGATTTTTTGTTCATATGTTTTTGTTGAGAGAATATAAATTTTCCTTCCTTAAAACATTCATTTAAAATTTTAAATAGCCACCTTATATACGTGGAGTGCTTTTAGCTTTCCAATGTGCTTTTGCATCTGTTTTAATCTATGCATTAACCGTATGTCATAAGCAGGGAAAGCATTATGATCCCCTTTTGGCAGAGGAGGAAACTGAGGTTCAGAGAGGTTAAGTGCCTTGTGTAAGATCAAACAGCTAATTGGGGACAAAGCTACAAATACAAGAGCGGACTTGTAAGTCAGGGAATCACTTGCTCTCTGTTCTTTCTGTAATAGAAGCATCCATCACTTTTTATCTTAAATTATAGTGAGCTCTATATCTATATATGTCTTCGACTGCAAAGTTTGTTGAAGTTGAGTGCCAACATGTAAGACACTCAATTTAAAGCTTTTGTTACTTGAAATCATTTGAATTCCTTTTGAGGGGTCTCCTCGTCTGGCTCTTGTCTTAGCCACGGCAGGTGAACCACTGGATGGATGGCTGAAAGGAATTACACCGTAGTGACGGAGTTCTTCCTTACTGCATTTACTGAGCATCCGGAGTGGCGGCTTCCTCTTTTCCTCATATTTTTGAGTTTCTATCTTGCCACTGTGTTAGGGAACACAGCCATGATCATCCTGATCCGCGGAGATCGTCGACTCCACACCCCAATGTACTTCTTTCTCAGCCACCTTTCCTTGGTGGACATCTGCTACTCATCCACCATCATCCCTCAGATGCTGGCTGTGCTGTGGGAGCATGGTGCAGTCATCTCCCAGGCTCGCTGTGCCGTTCAATTCTTCCTCTTCACCTTCTTTGCCTCCATTGACTGCTACCTTCTGGCCATCATGTCCTATGACCGCTACGCAGCCGTGTGCCAGCCCCTGCTTTATGTCACCATCATGACCGAGAAGGCCCACTGGGGCTTAGTCACGGGGGCTTATGTTGCTGGTTTCTTCAGTGCCTTTGTTCGAACGGTCACAGCCTTCACTCTCTCCTTTTGTGGAAACAATGAGATCAATTTCATTTTCTGTGACCTCCCTCCTCTATTAAAACTCTCTTGTGGGGACAGCTACACTCAGGAAGTGGTGATTATTGTGTTTGCTGTTTTCGTCATGCCTGTCTGTATCTTGGTGATCTTGGTGTCCTACCTGTTTATCATCATGGCCATCCTGCAGATCCACTCTGCTGGAGGCCGGGCCAAGACCTTTTCCACCTGCGCCTCCCACCTCACTGCCGTCACTCTTTTCTTTGGCACCCTCATCTTCATGTACCTGCGAGACAACGTGGGCCAGTCCTTGGAGGGAGACCGAGTGGTGTCTGTGCTCTACACGATGGTGACCCCAATGCTGAATCCCCTCATCTACAGCCTGAGAAACAAAGAGGTAAAGGAGGCTGTTAGGAAAGCCCTGAGCAGATCAAAGGCTGCTAGAAGACCCTAAATGGGCCCTTGCGAAATACGTTATTCCTGAGTTTTCCCATCTTTTCTCAATGGCACCTTCTGGAGAGGCTTTCCTAGACAACCCTAAGTAAAATCGCACCTGAACTCTCCACCCCCGCTTTCTGATTCCTTATTCTACGGAACACTTATCACCATCTGACGTATTAGAGGTTTTATGTGTTTGACATTGTCTAATGCTCACAACTAGAAAGTAAGCAACATCAGAGCAAGTGTTTTTTTATCTGAGCTTCATTTCTATATGCCCAGTTGCTAGCAAAGCACCTAGCATGTGAAAGGCACTCAATAAATATTTGTTGAGTGAATGAATCTCAGGTTCCAGTGTCTACTTGTAAGTCATAACTTCTTCAGTCATCAGTTTTCTCATCTATCAAGTGGTTTATCCACCTTATAGGACTGTGGTTTTGAGAATCCAGTGCATACATGAACAAGGATCATATCTGTATTATTCACTAGTATCTGCAGAATCCAGTGTGTTGCCTGGCATGACAAATACGTGATGAGTAAAGCAAGAATATTTGGAAAATTGCAAAGCAGTCTACAAATACAACTACTGTTTCAATCCAAAGGGATTTTCCAAATCTCATCGTTTATTCATTTACTCTTTTTTGTGGTGTCTTCTTAATTGTTTCTATGGTTTTTGATTGACAATAAGAAAAATTGTCATAATAATAATAATAGCAAGTTACTCTTATTAGGCATTATTACCTTCAAGGGCTTACAATAAGTTTGCTATAGGAATTACTTGATTTAATTTACAGGACATTCTTGTGAGTCAGGTTCTATTATTATCTCTGGTTTATAGGTAGGTGAGGCATTTGAGGCTTAGAGATACTGAGTAATATTCTCAAAGTTGGCAAGCAGGTGGTTGGGTGGGGCTTCCACCCAGTTAGACCTGAGAGCCTATCTAACGTGCACGCTGTTGCTAGCTGTAATCTGTTGCCTACTCTATATAATCACTCAACTGGAATTTATTGTTATTGCACTTTCTTTTTCCATTTATCTGGTGAAGAAAATAGGTAAAAGTCCAATCTGTGGGTATAGATAGCAGTCAACAACACTCATTTTACAGCCCCTATGTGCAGTATTGCATCATATGACTAAGTGTGTGTGTGTGTGTGTTGTGTGTGTGTGTGTATGTGTCTGTGTGTAGTTGTACATGATAAAGTGAAGTGTGCAGATTAAACAGCAACTTCTGAATTCAGGGAATATTTGATTTAAGAAAATACAATATTTTAGAAAACAGTTGGCTGGGCATGTTTAGGAAAAGGTACAGGGAAGAAATTAGGACCTGTGGCCAAGAGATCTGGGATCATATATCAGCTTTTGTAGAAATCATTTAGAAACCACAGATTGGGGTGAAGCAATGCTACAGAATGCCTCTTGAGGACCATTTTCTAAATATTAACTGTCATGCAAATATTTTCATAGCTCATCAACATCTGTGGTCGGTGTTAGACATATTTGTGTTGTAGAAAGAACTCAGAACTTGGCACCAAAGTGTCCAGTCTGCCATTTCTTAGCTGTGTGGCTTCAGATTAATTAGTGCCTTTCAGCTTGCTTCTCCTCTGTGAAATAATACTGAGCACTTACTCTGGGACATGATTTACATGTATCTTGTTTATTCTCACAATAACTTTGTATATTTGGAGAACTGGAATTCATTGGGTAATGTTATAAACATTTAGTGTTACTAATTACTGTTAATAATTCATGTTATTATGGTGCTTGCTCAGGCTCCACAGCCTAGTGAGTATTGATGGGCAGAGGGACCTATAGCTGACCCATGGGCTTCTTTATTGCAGAACTGTCTGGAACAGTCCCTTCTGGGCCCAGATTATCTCTAAATCTGGACATTTCCAGGAGTCAAGTTCTCAAACAATTTTTAACTTAACCCTTAAGCTAATGCACACTTATCATATCATAGGTACAATGATAAAAGCTTTACATGAATCATTTGTTTTAGCTCTCCCAACAATGTTAATGAAAAGCTATTTTTATTGACCCCATTTAGCAAAAGAAAAAAGAAAAACTGAGATTCAGAGATATTATGTGACTTGATCAAGAGAGTGGCAGATAAGGGAGTTCTGCTCTCAGGTCTCTCTGACTCCAAAGTACATACTCTTATTTGATAACTACCCTTCTACACTCTTCTTTCTCCTTCTCCAAGACTGTAGTTCCTGGTTACAGTTTGCTTCAGAGGTATCTGAGTTTCAGTTGCATTCTTGGTCTCTATGTTTGATAGGTGTGGGCTGAGATGGGTGTGTTTGAGGGACTGACATAATTGTGAAGTTCATGAAACTCAGTTTGGTCTTCTTGTAGGCCAATGAGAAGAGTCTGGGGGAATCTATAACTCCCTCAGAAAGGGCAGTATTGCCTTCAAAGCTCTTCCAGAATATTTCTTGGCTCAGAGTGCTTTAATAAATAGCTAATCGGCTTAGTGCCTCTAAGCAGACACTAACCTTCCCTTTAGTGATTACCCAAGGAATTCAATATTCCTTTCCAAACACTGATTATTGTTATTTCTTACCATTTATTAGCATTTACAAATATGGAATTGTATATATACATATATATACTTTATTTTGTTATATATATTATTATCAAATGTATTATTCAAAAGACATATCTGAAATGTGTATATATACTTTATGATTTTTGTTATATCTATCATTATCAAAAGACATTATTCAAAAGATGTATCTGAAATACCTTCTAATTTACTAAAACTTTAAAACATAATTTTATTGAGATTTGACGTGCAATATACTGTACATATTTGAAGTGTACAATTTAATACACTTTGACATGAATACACTCATGAAACCATCACCACAATCAAGATAATGAGCATGTATATCGCTTCCCAAGTTTCTTTGTACCTACTTTGCTTTCTCCCATGTGCCCCTTCCCATCAGTCCCCATCTGCACCCTCCAGGCCACTACTAGTCTAATTTTTGTCCTATATATTAGTTTGAATTTTATATAAATTTTATGTCAATGGACTCATGCCTGACTTCTACTTAGCATAATTATTTTGAGAATCATTAATATTGTTGTATATATTAATAATTCATTCCACATTATTACTGAGTATTATTACATTGTAAGCCATGTTTGTTTATTCATTCAGTTGTTTATGGGTATTTTAATTGTTTCCAGTTTTTGGCTATTAAAGCTTATAATACATGAAAAGCCTTTGTGTAGATAAATACTTTCAGTTCTTTTAGGTAAATACCTAAGGGTGAAATGGTTGGAATACATAGTAGACATATGTTTAATTTCTTAGGAAACAACCAAAGTGTTTTCAAAGTGGTTGTATCACTTAATATTCCCGCCAACAGTGCTAACAGTGCATGAGAGTTCCAGTTCTTCCAAATCCTCAGCAAAACTTCGCATGGTGAGGCTTTTTAATTTTTGTAAATTGTGGTAAGAACAGATAACATGAGATTTACCCTTTTAATAAATTTAATAAATTTTGAGTTTGGTATGGTATTGTTAACCATAAGTTCTACAGCATATCTCCAGAATTTATTCATCTTGCATAACTGAAACTTTATACCTATTAAAATCCAATTCCTTATTCTTCCTGTCCCCGTGCCCCTGGCAAGCACACTATTTTTGCTTTTATGAGTTTGACTATTTTAGATACCTTAAAGTGAAATCATATAGTATTTGTCTTCCTGTAACTGGCTTATTTCATTTAGCATAAGGTTTTCAAGGTTCATCTATGTAGTTGCATATGGTAAGATTTCCTTCTTTTTAAAAGATGAGCAATATTCTAATATATACAGTCATCCCTCAGTGTCCATGGGGGATTGGTTCCAGGACCTTCCGCAAATAACTAAGTCTGCAGATGTTCAAGTCCCTGATATAAAATGAGATGTAATATTTGCACATAAACCTATGTACATCCTCTTGTATACTTTAAATGATCTCTAGATTACTTATACTACCTACTACGATGTAAATACTATTTATAAGTGCTATTTAAACATTTGTTATACTGTATTGTTGAAAAAATAATGGGAAGAAAAAAGTCTATATACTTTCAACACAGACACAATTGTTTTTCAACTATTTTTATCCAAGATTGGTTGAATCCATGACTGTGGAACCCACAGAGTCAGAGAGCCAACTGTACCATATTTTCTTTAACTCTTTATCTGTCAGTGGACATTTAGGTTATTTCCACATCTCAGCTACTATGAATAATGCTTCAATGATCATGGGAGTAAACACACACACACACACACACACACACACATGATTTTAATTCTTTTGGATAAATACTCAGAAGCATTGTGTATTTATTGCTGGGTCATATGATAATTCTGTCTTTAGTTTTTTGGGAAACCTCCAAACTGTTTCCCATAGCAGCTGCACCATCTTACATTCCCACAACAGTGTACAAGGGTTCAAATTTCTCCATATTCTCACAAACACTTATTTTTTAAAAATAATAATAACCATCCTAATAGGTATGAGATGATACCTCATTGTGGTTTTGATTTGCATTCCCCTGTTGATAAGTGATGTTAAGCATCTTTTCATATACCTGTTGGCCACTTGTGTGTGTGTGTATATATATATATATATATGTTGGAGAAATATCTATTCAGATCTTTCTGAATAGAAACTTTTTAAATTTAACAAAATTTATTGAATATTGTATGTATATAAGGTATATAATTTGATAACTTGATATATGTATTGTAATAATCATATTGTATTATGATTATCACAAATTCATAAACATATCCATCACCCATGCTGTACATTAAATCTCCAGAGGTTGTTCATTTTATAACTGAAAATGTGTTCCCTTTGATCCATATATTATTTTCCTCCACCCCCAGCCACTGGAAACCACTGTTCTCTACTTCTATGAGTTTGATTTTTTGGATTCCACATATAATTGATATCATACAATATTTGTCTTTCTGTGTCTGGATTATTTAACTTAGCATAATGACCTCCAGATTCATCCATGTTGTCATGGATACTGGTATTTTCTTCTTTTTTATAGTGATTAATAAATAATATTTCACTGTATATGCAAACCACATTTCCTTTATCCATTCATCCACCTGTGGACACAAGATTTTTCTGTATCTTTGCCATAGGGACTAATGCTGCAATTAACATGGGAGCGCAGCTATATCTTTGAGATACTGATTTCATTTTCTCTAGATAAAAACTCAGAAATAGAGTTGCTAGATTGTATACCAATTTATATTCCCACTAACAATGAACAAGTGTTTTATTTTTCCCCTCAACCTCTCCCACACTTATCTTTCGACTTTTTGAGGATAGCCATCCTAACACTTGAAAAGATACTTAATTTTAGTTTTGATTTGCATTTCTCTGATGAATAGTGATGCTGAGCATCTTTTCACATACCTGTTGGCCATTTTTATGTCTTCTTTGGACAAATGTCTATTTAGATCTTTTCCCATCTTCTAATTCAAATACCTTTTTTTCCTGTTGAGTTGTATGAGTTCCTTCTATATTTTAGATACTAATCC